TGAATTTAAACCCTTTTTGTCAGAGGCGGTTCTCTCTCACTAGTGGAATGCACATGGCTTCCCTGGTTTCCCCTGGCAACTGCCTCTGCTCAGACAGCCAGTGTTTGACTCCGGCCTCAGTGGGTGGGGCTGCATCAATCCCCCTACCCCCTGACCCTGCCCCCAGAGAGAAATAATGCTCGGAAGCATGCAAAATCAATCAGCTGCAGCCCCGAAAAGCCAATATGTTGCTAATAAACACACAGGCAGAGTGAACGCTGAGCTGGTGGTCAGACAAAAGGAGCCAGAGCTCGGCGGTCCTTTACCTGCATTACACACTCTGTCAGGGCATTACCATGTGAAGAGAGCACAGGGCTGATAGATGAATCATGGCAATACTGTAAGAGCTCCTAACCTCCGAGAGGCCACGGCTGAACCACTATCATCACCTGCTGTTCACAGGCCCATACATTTACTGACCCACCAGGCCTTCTTGCTCAACAACTGGCTGCCTTAATGTGTGTGGATATGTGGTGAAGGGGAAAATCTCTCCTTAAACACACTTCACACATGGCTGCAGTCCAGCACCCAGGCAGCGTTCAAACAAAATTGTGTTGTTTTCCACCGCTGCTATTCATACATTTTTAATCACTATAGAAATTGCATGTGAAGGCAGTATTTTTAATTTAAAGAACCTTACAATGCATACTGGCATTGAATCTGATCATTATCACACAAGATGATAATGCTGTAATATTCATTATATTCTATCTGTGTTCTATCCTGTTGTATCACATCACATCATACTGCTTTTCATGGCGCAGTGCTGTGTGTTGCATCATGTTGTGGTGCATCAGCATAAATTAACAGAATAACACAATCATTGTTTTGCACACAGATATAAATCTGTTATAGCAATGTGATATAAATCTGCTTTACAGTGGATTTTACATTTAATGCAGATACACAGAGTGAACTCGGGCAGTTCCAAGCTTATGGGCAGAGTACACACTGTAGTGATGTGGTTTAAGGAAAACCTCATCTTTACCCTTCTGTTATTCCTACAGTGTTGGACAAAAATCGATATTTGTAGCGCAGATCTGCAACAACTGCTGATTGTCTTGGTGCACTCTCACAGCTAAATGAGATTTACTTCATTACACTGCTTTATTTAATAGCAGAAGCACCAGTATGGAACCACAGAATAGCCCCTGGAGAAATCAGACTGGCCACTGGCCCTGGGTCACATCGTATGTTTTCATTCCACCTCTAATAGAAATGTTTTTAAGTCACACTAGAAGCTGGCCAATTAGCCTGAAGGGGAATAATATCTCTAATGTACTGGCTCTATATTTTACAGAGATTTCTTGGCCTCTGGAGCCTTTTCATCTACAAAGACAGCAGATATTTATTTCAAAGGGCCCTGAACACCTGAGCGATGTTCTTCACCATGAATGCGGCAGAATGGAAAGTCCTCAGTTTAAACACAGCCTGCTCCTTTCCACTGTGTGCAGTCTGAGCAAATAACCAATGACAAGCAAGTGTTCACATCCACTCATTATCGACTGGTAATGCTGTGTTTGTTAAGGCTCAGATCAGTCCCTAAATTGACCTACACACTACACACTTACAATAGACAAGCAGACTGACAGATTAGCTGAGCAGTTTAGAGGAACACACAGCAGCCATGTTGAGGCTGATCCACCCAGCCAACCTCTCCTCACTGATAAACACGTATCAATGAAGAACAAGCAACAAAGAGTCACTGGAAACAGCAAAGACACACACACACACACACACCACTACTGTAAGACTCTACTCTACTACCAATCTTGTGTGACTGCCAGCCCTTTTCCAAAGCATGCCACACTGTGCCAGAGTTCTGATTTATGCATTTTCCAGGTAAATGGTGATTTCCATTCATAGTGGAAAGACAGACACTTGATTCACTTATGTAATCAAGTACATGTCTGTAGGGCTACTGTAGGTATCAAGAGTATTTAATGTGTCTGTAGCACAGTCAATGGATACTTGTGTTTGTGTTCAGATACTTCATCTTTTTTGTACTTTTGGATCAGATGGATTAGTGCTGTCGCCTCACAGCAAAATGGTTCTGGGTTCAAGACCCAGTATAGATAATGGACGGATATTCTTGGATCAGATAGTTCCTACTGCCGCCCTAACTAAAGTTTGCATCAATCTCTGGTTTCAAGATTTACAGTCTCATTGTGATAATGTATAATTTTCAGTTTGAGCCCATTTGAGCTGACTGTAGAAACAGATAAATATATTTATAGAGCACTCAGAACTGCAGCCATGATAACTTACAGAATTATCCTTTGCAACTTCTACAGCTGCATCATTGAGAGCATCTTGACCAGCTGCATCACTGTCTGGTATGGCAGCACTACTGCTATGGACCGCAAGTGCCTGCAGAGAGTGGTAAAGACTGTGGTACAGATCACCAGGACCCCACTGCCCTATCTGAAGAGCATTTACCACCGCAGGGTGCTTAGGAAAGCTGCCTCCATCCTCAAAGACCACACCCACCCCCAGCACAGACTGTTCACTTCTTTGCCCTCTGACCGGAGGTTCAGAAGTGTGAAATGCAGGACCACTAGACTGAAAAACTCTTTCTTTCCCTCTGCCATCAGACTCCTAAACAGCTGAGGAGTTTATTACCAGGAAATACGTGATGTACTGTTTACATTCTCAGTTTGCACATGCATAATTGCAGAATGACTGTTGACTGCTGCACATGCTGCTTCCATGCAGCATACAGTCTTTGTTATATTCTTTTTTTATTATTATATTGCTGCATTTGCTGCTTAAAGTGCCTTAGATTTTGTGTTACTTATTTATCTACCTTATATTACATTTGTATTTTGTGGCATTCATGTGGACGGCAAAGTAAGAATTTCATTGTACAGGGAAACAGGTTTCCTAACTGTGCATATGACAAATAAACACTTTGAACTTGAACATTGGCTCCAGAAGAAGCTACATGTCAGACTGCTTTTTCCCATCAGGCAATAATGAAATAAAGGCAAAAAGCAGATCTCATATTTCCATTCAGGTCTTTGCATCTAAATTAGGGGACAGCAGCCTTTTGACTGCTGTGCTCCAGTGTAAAGAATCTGAGAGGGGTTCTCCGACGATGAATGATCTTCTGTGGCAGGAGAACAACCATTAAGGGCTCTGACAGGGGAATAAAGCGATACTGTATTGAAAAAACTCAGCTTTCAGTGCCAAGTGACCCACGTTCCATTTCGTCTTTATTAGGCGCACAGCCCGGGACCCATCATCACTCATTTTACTACTGTGCATGAGACGATGCAGACACAGAAACCTGAGCCGTATACACATTATACTTCAAGGTCATACATGAAAATAATTCTGTCAATATCTGTATGAGACAAGGCTTTTGCTGACTTTGTTGGCAGATGTTTCAGATACAGAACAGAAAAATGGTTAAACATCTCAGTGTTGTTTTTTTTTTGTAAAATCTGTTTTATTGTTCATCCTGGAACACCTTCACAGAGCAAAGATCTACATTCAGAACTCCTGTGTTATCTGGGCTTGGAGCCAGCAAGGCCTTCCTTGCAGAGTAGTAGGTGATGGGCCATGTTTGTCTGGCCTGTAACCTCTCATTTTTCACTGCCACAGGGGACCTTGCAGGGGGTACTGCTAATTTAGGCTACCTCTGAATTTAAGGCACACAAACCCCACACAGAGGTTGCAATCCTGAGAAAACATGGAAAAGTAAGTGAGCACATAAGAAGGGTACATGTTAAGTACAGCACAGCTGTGTCTGTGCTTGTGTATGTGTTATTTGATGTGTGATGGTGAGAGTGGGGGCAACCTGGTGCCAAGGGAGCCACTGGGTGGGCATGCCTTCTGTTTCCTTTTACTTCCAGGTCACCTAGCATCACACTAGAGAGGCTAGAGATGGACACTCTGCTTCTTTTAACAAACTCTCTTTTCACTCTTCTGTCCTGTCTAGTTCTTATGATGGATCCAAATCCAAAGTATTAATAATAGACAGCACCCAGAGAGTGCAACCTTCACCAAAGGCTACTCACGTTCCCCATAATACCATAAAATCAGTATTCCCATGATGGTTTGACCCTCACAACTTTCATTGCTTGACCATGAAAGCCTACTGCTGGCATTTGGAATGACACTGATATATTTATTAGTTTAAAGTTATTCAAGAAAAATAATAGACATGACAGACATCCACTTGTTGATTTAGGGGTAAAACTGGGACTTCAGTGAGTGGGCCACGGGCAAAGCGGTGAAAATGTCACATTTCTGCAAGTCTGTGTTCTGCTTGTTCAGTAGCTGCTTGATAAACCACTCATACGGTCTCCATTACCGGCTGATTGTTGCAGTATGGAATGACACTTCACATTTTCCGTTCTCCCTTTGCTCAGCTGTGAGTGTGTGTGAGAGGAGCGCAGTCCCTCCCTCTATACAGAGACTGACCCAGTCAAAAATAAAGTGGAAAAGCAAAGTAGGATGGTCCACATCAACCCATGAGGTTATGCTGGGTGACAGTTAAGGGAAGCACGGGTCGTATCACTTGTTAGGTTCCAACAGTGGAAGCACAGCTACAATGTGTGGCATCCTCGCCGCAGACTACTGTGCTCTGAACAAGATCACAAATCACAATGTCATCCGCAAACATCATTGTCCACGAAGATTCCTGTCTGACCTCATCTGTCAACCTGTCCATCACCATAGCAAACTAGAAGGGACTCAAAGCCGATCCTTGATGTAGCCCCACCTCCACCTTGAACTCCTCTGTCTGACCTACAGCACATCTCACACTCCTCTCATACATATCCTGAACTACTCTGACGTACTTCTCTGCCACTTCTGACATCCTCATACAGTACCATAACTCCTATCTCGGCACTCTGTGGTATGCTTTCTCTAAATCCACAAAGACACAATGCAGCTCCTTCCGACCATCTCTATATTTCTCCATTAACATTCTCAGAGCAAAAATTGCATCAGTAGTGCTCTTTCTGGGCATGAAGCCATACTGCTGCTCACAGATATCCACTTCCTTTCTTAGCCTAGCTTCCACTAACATTACCCCTTCAATTTCCAACTTCAAACTGATCACCCTGTCTGACACTCTTTTCACCTCTAAAACATTCCTCACGAGCTCCTCCTTCAGGATCACTCCTACGCCATTTCTCTTCCTGTCCACACCATAATACCCCCTTCTTTCCCTCTCATTTTCCTCATTCATCAGTTCCTCAAAATACTCCTTCCATCTTCTCTGCACACTCTCCTCACTTGTTAGCACCTTTCCATCTCTGTCTTTAATCGCCCTTATCTGTTGCACATCCTTCCCATCTCTATCTCTCTGTCTTGCTAATCTGTACAAGTCCTTCTCACCTTCCCTTGTGTCTAACCTGGCATACAACTCATCATAAGCTTTTTGTTCAGCCATTACCACCTCCCTCTTCACTCTACGCTGCAATTTCTTGTAATCCTGTCTACTGTCTTCAGTCCTTTCTACGTCCCACTTCTTTTTAGCTAGCCTCTTCCTCTGAATGCTGTCCTTTACTTCCTCGTTCCACCACCATGTTTCCTTATCCTCGCTCCTCCTTCCCGATGACACACCTAGCACCTTCCTACCTGTCTCCCTGATCACTTCTGCTGTAGTTTCCCAGTCATCTGGAAGTTCTTCTTGACCACCCAAAGCCTGTCTCAACTTCTGTCTGAATTCCTCATGACATTCTTTCTTTTGCAACTTCCACCACTGGTCTTCTTTTCTGTCTTTCCTCTCCTCTTCTTGCTGACCACCAGAGTCATCCTACACACCGATGGGGTCGCCTCGATGCTGTCTGGCTACACTTTCTCCTACCACCACTTTGCAGTCACTAATCTCTCTCAGATTGCCTCATTTACATAGAATGTAGTCTACCTCCACTCTTATATGTAACTCTATGTTCCTCCCAGCCAGAGTTAACTGATACTCATTGTAATTCTGTAAATGGATTAAATTCATACACTTTATGATCAGTTTTTAAAGCAGTTCTGGTTCACTTTACCCTGACAACTTAATAACGAACATTTTGAAAAATGTCTGAAATAAAAGCAGATTAGGCCCAGCTCCTGCAGAGTCATACGCATTCAAAAGTAGCACTGCTGTTCACTGCAGTTATGCTTTGGACACATTTGTGAATAAACGTGTGTCATTTGTATTAAAGTTGCTTTAAAAAGGTAAATATGCTATCATTAAAAGAAACATCGTATTAATTTCCTTTCACAATCATCCCCTCTTCTCACAGTGGAATAGGCTGTTAAAGGATAATTCTGTCTTTTTAAAACCCTGGATAATGTACGTGGCAACTATTTCTAGTTTTGTTGCTGAAATTGAGAGGACATGATTGGTCAGAGCTTTACAGACTTCATGAGTGTGCAGGCAATCAAACTACTTAATAAGAAGAGAAAAACAGAATTTGAAGCTACAGTATACAACTTTTTCAAATAGTTTTGTTATAGAAATCTGCCCCAAAACTTGTCTTAATGTGGAGAGGTGCTGTTGAAGCCTCCTGTGACCCAGACTCATTGAACAACATTGGCAGCAGTGCAGAAAGATCAGCTTCTCAAAGGGTTTGAGCGGGATTTGTATCTCTAACCAGTCAGAGATTTTCTGTTATTTCTGATTGATCAATAAGTTTTGTCTCTTTCTTGTAATTTCATAATGACAAATATCTGAAGAGCAGGGAGAGGGAGTGCTGGGTGGGGCAGAGTGGAAAATGATTAGAAAATTCATGCTAGTGCTACCTTATGCTACATATTGTAGCTTTAATGCACCAAAACAGTCTTTTATAACTTCCATTTAAAAATCTTACAGCAAGTCCAACTTTTTCTGCAGAGCAACTGGGGTTTTGTATCAACATTTACAAAATCTTGCCTTTAAATAAAGACAGTTAATTTAGAGTAAATGTACAGCATTGATTTAGATGGAATGCTACTCTCTGGATAATAGAGACTGTAAATCTTGAATTGCTGAGTAGATTTACTACTGTAGGTCCTGACTGCATCAGCTGGGAAGCTTAAGGGAAATTTCCTCTTACCCTGCAATAGCATCTGAAGGAGCATTCAGTACAGCTGGCTGAATATTGCATGCAGCTCGCAGGTGTGCTTGTGTGTATCCTTTTTCATGAATGGGAAGTAAGGAGAGCTGGGGCTGCTCATCAGAACATCCACCAGATAGATGAAAATGAAAATAATCCTCCTTACAGTGGCAAAAACAAAGGCACCAGGGACCTTACTCGTTTGCTCCATTCACACAGAGTCTATTCTCACTGGGTATAGTCTAAGCCCTGAGGGAGGAAAGCCGGTTTTACAGTCGGGGACGGAGTCTTACATAACAAACCGTATAACGTCAATGAAAAGGGCCTATTTAAAACAATATGAATAACAAGAAAATAGCGTGCATTAATGGAACTGATATGACAGGTTTGATGCAGTAGACTATAGTTAATGTTTAAAGTGTTGCAAATTGAATCTATGGCAAAATTAGACTCCATGCAGTATAGACTTATATCTCTTATTTTCTCTGGTTTCCTCAAAGCTGAATGAAGTTGGTCTATTTTCCAGCCCATTCACTGTTGGCACATGTAGGCCAGAACTTCCAGAAACATAGGGGCAGTATTTATTCAAAGCAAACGTCCAACCTGCAGGAGCAGCTCTCGCTCTATCAAAATGCCGACCTCTTTTCCATAAATTATTTCTTATTGCGGTTCACACCCCACCTCCACCGAGCCTCGGAGCCGCGAACGAGCCTGGGCTGTCGGGAGCGCGCAACAGTCATGCCTCATCCGTCGCTCGCTTCGGCAGAGACGGTAAATACAAGAAGACTCTCGTCTTTTGCTTAAAATTACCCAGTATTTTGCGACTGATGCTTCCGAGCGACCGCCCACCTCGTGGTGAGGAAGGTGGAAATTCTAAGCCACCTCGTCCATTATTTGTCATTTTGTTCCCGCGTCAATGAGACAAAGAGGGCAACAAGACTCCAGAGGAGTACAGCTGTGGTGATATGGTGCATCAGGGCTCATTCTTCATTTTGCAGGTCATTCCTTTAAGTTGATGCTGTCACTGTCTTGGTTTGGGGACGTAAATGCTGGGAAGCCACCCCGAACTGATGTTTGCATTCCCCGGAACAGTGATCCGGTAGGAGCACAAACGAAAGGTAAGACACACAGCTGATTATGTCAGACTCACTGGTGATGAGCTTGTTTTGATAGATGTAGGAAAACGGCTGCTTCATCCAAACAGGTGGTGTCCTGTAGCACAAGCAGATCAGCTGTGAGAGGAGAAAGTATTTTAAATGCAAACACACTGCAAAATTGCTGTGGACCTTCCGTGTAAATCTGACCTATTTTGAATATTGCTTGATCCAGATTGTATGCAAAACTAGTGCAGATGAGGAAGTGGCCTAAGTGAACGGCTGAATTAGCCTATACTGACATTATATACTATACTATATAGGTTATGTTCTTAACTTTACTAAGCGAGGAGCCTCTTTTACATTAAATCTGTGTCTTAGATGATCGATAATTACACAGAACTAGTGGGTGTGGGATTAGGTATAACCTATATTAGATATGAGTTAACACTGCGTTGGTAATAGACGCACCAAAGGACCAAAATATCCCATGAATGTAGCCTACTTAAAGTATCTAGGCTGTTTTTGACTTTAGAAAAGAATATTCAGTATCCTGCAATCACATCTTGTGCAAAAGGGATATACAAACTTATGCAGGCAGCTCCTTGGAAATGTACAGTTCTTCACATCTCTGTCACTGATTTTATCAGTCTTCCTTGTGGCTTTATTGTATCTGTTTTATCAAATTATAGTATATAATCTAGTCTTTAAATATGGAATATTAGTCTACTTGTGATTTGCTGATTTTAGCCTAAACATGAAGCTAAATAGAGTTTTAAAAAAAGTAACATTCTGCATGACAGAATCACAACAGCCACGAAGCACGATCAGCATGATACGTTCTCAACTGCATCCAATCCAACATGTACACTTGTGATTTTTAGACCTAAAAGTGTGACTATTCTATATTTAGATTTAACACCCTCTATTATAACAGCATACACAGTAATGATGGACTTAAGATACTGGGTATACAGTTACAACTCTCACACCAAAAAATTCAACATCCAGGTATTGTCCTGCCCAATAATATTTTTCAACATGCATATAATAATAATATTTTGATAAAGACACTAAATAAATGCCTTCAGCATTTTTCTGGACATGAACTTCTGACCCGAATCTGAGCATCAGAGTCAGTGGCATTATTTACGGTGACCTATGGTAATGACAAAAGACAGAATGAGGAGGCAGTTGATCTTTGCATTCTTTCAAAAGTTTTTTCTCCCATTAGAGAAGTCACAGCAGAAACAGGAGAGAGTGGTCAGAAAGTGGACATGCAAGCCAGTGATAACATTTACTGCCCAGACAAAGTGCTGTAGCCAGCAAGTGACAGTTACTGCAACACCACGAAGCCTCACAACAGATCTCAGTGTTTCACTGGCACTTGTGACATTTTGTTTGTCACACGTTTGGCTCTGTCATTTTGTGACCGTGTTAGTCTGTGTTCACACTTTTCTATTTTTGCCACAACACACTGAGAAGATTCTGCCTTCCCTTATACAGCATCATATGGTGTTGTGACATTAATGATAAGATGAGGAGTATTAAATAAATGTGATAATGTTTGAATAAGTCCTGTGCACCAATTTGAATTTAAAAATTTTCTTTTCCATATTTAATGTATGACACTGTCCTACCACCTAAATAGTAGAACAATGATTTTACAGTAAAACACAGACCTGTCTCTGAGATGAACTCTAAACCCTCGGCCATATGGTGCCTGGTGATCCATCTACAGTCCTAGCTGGAGGTAGTTTAACATAAATAGGAAGAGAGCATCTAGGGTTACGTTTGTGTTGGAAAATTCAACTACGTACTCTGTGACCAGCTGATTTCATCAGTACGTCTGGCAATCACAGGCATTTACTACAGCTTTGTGTTACAGGAAACTCAAGTGCAGAAAGGGAAACGTGGGAATCAAAGTAGATATGATGACGGATGATTTCTGGGAGCCTGCTGTTCTCTATTGACCTCACACAGTATTTAACTAAATTACATCAAGCTTGGTAGCCCTGTGATAAACTGGTGACCTGTCCAGAGTGTACCGCGCCTCTCACCCAAAGTCAGCTGGGATTGGCTCCAGCCCCCCGAGTGACCCTATTCAGGAATAAGCAGAATTGATAATGGATGGATGGATGAACATCAAGCTTGGTTGCAACAATAGTTTGTTAATGCAGCCCCACAGGCCCAACTTTCTATTTCAAATAATGAAGTAGACTACTTCAAAAAATAAAGTAGTCTAAATGCAAATTAAAACCCTTTTATAAGTTGCACAATCTAAATTTCAGATGCTTTAGCTCTAGAAGCACATTGATGATGTCTTCATGGTTTTCATTTCATGTTTACTGTGGAGAGAACCACACAAGAGACTCCACCCACACAGGCAGTTAGAAGTGAAGGTTCGGATTTCCTCAAAGTACCACTGAAAAGAATACGCTGCTAAAAATTATACTGTATTTAATCAGTGATACTTAATCTAATGCTGTTTAAAATTCAAGTTCATTGTGTATTTGAATCAGTGTATGCAACATTGTGACGCTCTGACTCTCCTGATCATACTGGATTTATTAATGACTGGCTGATGCTTTCCTCATCTTCCCAGTGTAAAATAATGGGCTAATGTTAGCTTTTTTTTTTCAGTATTTATATGAGCTTCAGAATGAACACTATATAACTTTCTTGAAACCTAACTTTTCAGGATATAAGCTTTTTTTTTAAAGAATGTCTGATTTAAGAATAAGTAAAGTAGTTTTTATATCTCGCCGGGTAAAAAAATTGGGTAAAGTTTGTTTTTTTTTTTTTTTTACAGTATTTATATGAGCTTCAGAATGAACACTATATAACTTTCTTGAAACCTAACTTTTCAGGATATAAGCTTTTTTTTTAAAGAATGTCTGATTTAAGAATAAGTAAAGTAGTTTTTATATTTGGTGCTATGGAGACCATAAAGCATTGAGTTTCAATAGCACATCGATCAGGGAAGCTGCCTCAGATGTGGCTTGTTGGTTTGATGCATAACCTGCAGCAGGAGGATATTGATTTAGTAGAGAAATGTCTTAGCCTGTCTCTCGACAGGAAGGTTAGAGGTCACGGTCACAGAGTACCTCTAGCGCTTTCTGGTTTCTGATGAGTTGGCTGATAGAGTTTCACTGGCTCAGTGTAGAGACTCGAGTGAGACAGGGCTGACTCAGGGGCTTCAGTCTAGCTCCTGTGGTTGGAGAGCAGGCTGCCAACTCTTTGCACCTCCGTGCTGTGTATTAGTGAAATGCTTTGATTAAATGAAAGAGACATTTGCCCACAACATGTTACTGTTGTTGTTTCAGTCACTGAGTATGAGTGCTCATCCATATTTGCTGTCCGGTGTCATGCTCTGTAAGTGGATACTTTACAATGACAGCAACTAAGGAGATTTACTCACTGTAAGAAGACCATTAGGAAATGTAAGTTGATATTTCCCATTACCTTTCAACTCAAACAACACCAAATGCACCTCCATATTTTCATTCATAGTTGAAAATATACCAGCTTTTGCAAGATGAACTTTGGTCTTGTGTTATCCCAAACAGGCTAGAATTAGGTTGTGATGTGGATACAAAGCTCTGGGTAAATGGATATGAGTAGATATTATTTTCCAGCACGTAACAGATGTTTTTTTCCATTCACCGTGGTTTGAAAGACCAGGCAGGCTATTAATAGACTGTTGTAGGAGATGTGGCTGGCTTAGGCTTGTAGTTCCTAACTGTGGAGAAAAAAACTATTGTAATGATTTGATAAGTCAGTAGTGGATAAATGCAGCACACAAACCATGAGGTTAATTAGAAGTACATCATGTTGCACAGTCTTCAGTTGTAATTTTTATTGATAAATGTGAAACATTCGTGTCACACGTCTGCATCTTCACAACCAGAAACAAAGACGTGAGTTTGGTGATGTATGGGTCAATGTTTTGCACAGGAAGGCAGCTATGATTGGTGAAATTTGCAGGAAACTATAATGATTGGTCAAATTTGTGGAAAGGTTGAGGTGACTGAACAAAATTGCAAGGTCACGCAGAGGGAAGGGTCACTGCAAATCAATACAGTTGTCCTGAGTGATCATGGGAGTGGTCTCTTCCAGGATAACAATGCCTCCACAGGGCATGAGGTGTCACTGAATGGCTTAATGGGTTTGAAAATGATGTGAATCATATGCTATTGCCTTGTCTCTCAGTCATAAGTGATATGCCGTCAATAAGTCAGGATCATCTCCACAAACCTAGGGAAAGTCAGTGTGGCATTAAACTGTACAAACACTTTCTTATCATTTTGGACCTGCACAGCAAGAGTCGCACAAACTTGATTTAAGAAATAACACATGAAAAGAAGTGCTAATTGACCAGCACAGCAGTGCCAGTTTTATGGTTTGGCATAGTGTGTCACTATTTCATAATAAAAGCTTAATCAACAGTTTTATTTTTATAAATGGAATGTGCAGTTACTGTGCTTCAAACTTTATATTTTTTCTACTGAATGTTTTCTTTAAGATGGATGTAGTTGCTATGCAACATGCACAATATTAAGATCCAGTCTGGTTTTAGTGCAATGGTGCACTGTGTCTAATGTGATAGTTGTCAACCAATAGCTGATCTGATGAGCTATGATGAGGACATGACAGTTATTGGTGACAAAATAAGCCCTCTGGCTGTCATGTATAGGAAAACAGAGATTTGTGTTCTAAGGGATTTGGACTCTAATGAGACGGCCATATGTTTGCTTAGACATTGAGCAGGTAAATAATGGCTACCTTACAACGTTTGTAACGCTCTGCTGCATGTCGATGGAGATTCTCAGTCATCCAGTTCATGGTATATCCAAAGTGGTAAAAATGGGCAACTGGGTTTGCTTGTCCAGTTGCTGATTTTTACCATTTGGGACGATGCTCTGCTGAACTTAGGTTTTGACGCTTGTGTAGGGTGTTTTTAATCGGGCCACATATAATAAAATGGAGAGAGAGTTCAATAATGAGGTCATAGATGTTCCTCC